TTCCCGTTTTTTTTTTTTTTTTTTTATATAACGAAACAACGCGGGCTCCCTCGCGACTGAGAAGCCTCTTTTTCTCTTCGTCTTGCTCTTCCTCCTACTGCTATTATTGCTATCACTGTGCTATCACTGTGCTCTGTTGTCCTTCGCTTCTCGCTGGCAGATCGCGTTGGATCCAGCTCGCAACTACTTACTAGCCTAGCTTCACCCAAGTGCGCGCAGCACCAGCACCAGCAGACGATACAATGGCGGACGACGCAGCAGCGACACCCGCGCGAGGACGCGGTCGACCACCCAAGGCCCCCGGCTCAGCATCGACGCCCAAGGCCGCAGCTTCGACAGCTGCTGACGGGCAGCCGAGAAAGCGAGGCCGTCCGCCGAAGAATGGCGGCCCAGTGACACCCAAGCCGGTCGTGCTGGATGCGAACGGCCAGCCCAGGAAGCGAGGCCGGCCGCCAAAGAACGGCATCGCAGCACAGTCGAAGTCCAAGACCGACGCCTCAGGAGCCTCTGCGTCGGCGAAGAAGAGAGGACGGCCTCGCAAGGACGCATCTGACGGCGATGGGGCGGACGCGAGCCCACCTGCCCGGGGACGGCCAAAGAAGGACGCCGACGCGAAAAGCAATGGTGCAAAGGGGACGACGGGGACGGGGACGCCGGGGCGAGGGAGAGGACGGCCGCCTGCGAACCCGCTGCAGAAGTTCCTGGGCTCGTTTGCTCTGGAGTGTGCGGCCGTCAGCGACGAGTGGCCGGACCAGTGCGACTCGATGGACATGTCGATTTCAGCCTCTGACCTGGACCCCTGTGGCATGGTCGCGTCGTTCAACCTGGGCATCGTCGAGGGTACCATGCTGCTTGCCTTGACTCAAGACGAGCTCAACGCCTTTCACAGCAAGGTCGAGGGCGGTTCCGGTGCGTGTTATTCCATCAAACTATGCCATGACTATCCCCCAGTTCAGCTGCTAACCACGCTCAATTCAACAGACTCCGACTCGGAAGAGGACGCAGAGTGCGACGAACCACCAGCGAAGAAGGTCAAGAGCGCCGCAGACGAGGATTCTCTGCGGCTTTACTTCAAGTGGAAAGGCCGGAACACAACTGACACCGAGATACATGACGGGAGCAGGGATGTCGGCACCATAGACTTCCTTGACTCCAAAGCAATACAGTTCAAGGGCATCGGAAGCTTCCCTGCCCTCGGATCCAAGTGCGAATTCACAGGAACAAGATACGACAAGGAGCCTACCACCGTTCCTCTGCCCTGGAGCACCTTTTCAGACGAGGCTGCTCAACTGGCCAACGAGAACAGATGGTAGGTGTCCTCAACGCAGGAGAGGGGAAGAGAATATACCTACTATATGATACCCCCCTTTTTTTAACCCGACGTTGCGATGTCCCTCTGTTCGTTCTGTTCCGTGTAATATTATTATGTCCAATCTTATCTACTTATCCGCCCTCTAACCTCTCCAGCTTTGCTTCTACGGAGCATCAGCCCGTCACATCTACCGTCTTTCCTCCTTTTCTTTCTTTTACGTGAATCATACCTACCCCTCTTTATGCTTATTTTTCTCTTGTCTTTTCGTTTATCCGGGGAGTTCTCGCAGGTTGTAAACAGGATGCCAATGGCCACTCAGTCATTTCAGTTGAAACAGATATGAAAGCACCTTATTCTTTTCTCTTTCTTTTTTCCCCCCAATCTTTTTTCTACATATACCTTCCAATTTTAAGTGGCATTCTTCATCGACTTCGAGCAATAATTTGATCGTGCAAGAGTCTTGTGGTAAATGGCTGGCAAGAATGGTAGTTTATTTGTTTTCTCAGTCGTCGCAGTAACTATATTGTCGTAACATTAAATAATCTGTTCAATTATTTTGGTCAATTATTTGGTCAAATATCCCTCCTCTAACCAGAGACGCCTTTTCAAAACCTAGGATGATTTCCACTGGAGGTTCACTTGTTTACTTCGGGCCTGTAATATCACTTGTTAGAACATTATATATATATATTTTACGTAGGGAATATGAAATAGCTTACCAAGGGAGCAAGGGCGCTAACGCCGGCCATCAACGCAACAACAGTAAGCAGAAGCTGGACCTTCGAGAACCCTTTACCAAGGATATCGAATGGCTGGCTTGGCGCAAGTCGGGTTCCGAAGATATCAAATCCGTATGAGAATATCAACGTCGTACTCTCAAGTAACGTTGGGCTGGATTCGATGTGCTGGATGCCCATCACATCTCGGGAATGCGTAAGATGCCATTTGGGATCAAATTCGAGGTTTGGATTATATCTCATTAGACCTTCTTCAGCTTCTTGGGCAGTAGGATCACGGCCCACGGGGCGGCGGGGGTCGAGGAAGGGTCGTGGGATTCCAACGATGCTGCGTGACGCTGGGAGGGTGCAGAGGAGCTGCCTGATGGATATTCCCTGGCGAGTCTGGGTGACTGCCATGTTGGAAATGGCCTCGGGGATCATGTACGCTTGTGATATGACATGTGGCAGGGTAATGTTGGTGATACTGGAGTAATTGGCTGCGTCGCCGAGAACACCACGGTCATTAGGAGTAGATGATTCATATAGTTCAGATACTATAAGCTGATATCCCTTTGCAGCGGACCGTTCACTTGTGTCTGCCCAGAAAGAATAGGCAAACCAGTTCTCGGAGATAACTGAGGCGATGGGCTGAGTGGTATCAACGTCCGTGTACCTTGCTGTATGCAAGATCTGACCGGATACGCCATCAAGAAGGTAGAAGTCCACGGTAGACTCGCCAGTTGCAGTAATAAGGGCCAGATTGTGGTTCAGATACTTGTAAAGAACGGATCTGTCGCCCAGGACCTTGCCTACCGAAGCAACGGGGTCGTGAGCCGGTCGTGCAGTGGCGTGGATAATCTTCTGTCCATCAGGGACAGTGAACTCCCACATTGGAGCCTTTGATCTGCTGGTATTCCAACCTAGTATCCGCTTGTCACCACTTCGAGTGACGAGGAAGGCATCGATTCCATTGACATAGGCAGACTCAGTCGGCACGCCATGTTCCTCAACTCCAACCTTGAAATCTGCAGCGCCGTCTGGAACAAATGCGATAGATGCAACTTTCTGTGTTGGGGGTGTCCGGCTGGTAACCTCACCAGTGGTGATGTTCACCTGGAACGTGCTACCGTCGTCAACATGGACGGTTGCAAGCCCTAACTGAGTGGTGATGGCTTTCACACCCCAGTCAAGATCATTCTCCGCAGCCTTGATGTTCCACATAACTTTCCCCTGACGGCCTGAATCGAGGGCCGCAATTCGCCCAGTTCTGGTTGCTAGGATAATCTGTTGTCCCAGGCCGAATTGGATCAGGTCGCTGATATCACTTGGCATGAAGCTAGTCAAGACTCTCATAGGCATTTCCATCAGCCAGTCTGGGAGGCCTTGCTGGACGGCCTTGAGATGTCGGATCAAACGATGAGCGTAGGCCATGGGTACACTCTGATGGCCTTCTACTTCAAGCTCGCGGGCAAGAGTCACCCCATCGTTCAGATCAGTCCATACAGCAGCAATAGCCTCCGTCAGTGACTCTGGTCTAGTCCACTGTAGTTTTCCATTTAGAACCAAGGACCAATCTCCTGACTCTTCAACCTGGGCGAATCGGACAGAAACACCTGATTCAAGTGCAACAACCTCTGAAACGGCATGCTGAGAGTTCTCTGGCAATACCTCACTGGTCTCCCAGGTCCCCTGGGCCTTGTCAGATATAGATGAGTAGATAATGACCTCTGTTGGAGTGATCCGTGTAAAGTAGAGGTTTTCGTTGTTCGTACTAGTGCCGGCTGTGATGACCGAGTGCCCCTGGATCTTTGGAAGGCTGTAGGCTTTTGTGATGCTTGTGGTTTTAATGTTAATATGGTAGACATCAGCCCATGATGCCGTGTCAGTGCGGTATTCCACCAGGAAATGTGCTGGGCCGCTTGAGCTCGGAGATACGTGGATTTTAATATGACGAACCCCTTCGTGCTCTACCTTGATGGATTCAATGGTATTAGACCCCAATACGTTAACCTTGAGAACAGTATTGGCCTTGTCTGTCCAGGCAATCAAGGGTGCAGCGGCGTTTCTGCCAACAAGAAGAATCGATTCAGGCCCGGACACTTCCGTCTCTGAGTTCAGGGTATATTGGCTCCCAGTCTGCTTACCCTTGGCTAGATCCAAGGTGGTGACTTTAATTTTATATCCGGATCGAGACGCATGCTGCAATGCCACGTAGTAGCCAGTGGACTTGGATGCCACTGATACCTGGAATGTTACATCATCACTAGACGGTAGAGTCAGCCTCACATCTATGCCAGCGGGTAATATATATTGAAAAGACGTACCTCTCATCCTTGTATTCCCACAATACACTGCCATAGTCAATATCCAGCCGTCTCAACACACCCTTCTTCTCTCCTGACAGCACCAGGACGTCATGTCTATACATGATCTCCTCAGGCCGATCCGGGACCAACTCGAGGTCCTTGACCACCCCATCCGTAACCCGCTGAATCCACCGAAACCGTCCATCAATCGCATCCCACGCCGAAACACCGCTACCGAACGCACTTACCAGCGCATCATCGTTATCCGCCGCACGCAGGAACGCTTCGTTAGATGATCCTACAGCCTGCGGGAAGTACTCTGTGACATTTTGCCTCCACACCACTGATCCGTCCTTTGGGTTGACAGCTCCTAGTATGTTCTTATCTGAGTGCGTGTAGAGCAGCGATGCGACGGAGGAAGGACTCGAGCGGTGGAAGAAGGTGTTGGCTGCGCCGGGTTGGCCTAGGAGGGCATGGTGGTAGTCGATATGGTAGGCCTCGTCTGCGAGGATTGCCAGTGCCGAGGGGACAAGGGACGCCCACAGGAGGGAAGCTGCATCAAGCCGCATTGTATCACCTCCTTACCACTAGCATCTGACAGTGGTGTGGCGTGTGGTGGAAGTGTTCAATTCGGAGCTTGCTGGGTTGCTTGTCTGTTGTATTTGTTTAGCTGCCTTTGCGCTGTTGGAGGCGCTGTCTTGGCAGCTACTTAGTCAGATAGTTACTCAGATACGCAGAGACGGCAGGGAGTAGAAGATACTTAGATCAGAGCAGACGGCTAGAGAGTGATAAGAGTATATGAGAGTAGAGTAGACAAGATGAGAGAGATTGGAGGCATTGACACTTTTTATCATTCATGCTGAATATCTACCCTACTCCGGTGTAACCAAACCCACCCGTGATACTCTTAATACTCAGGCCTATATACACAGAAACTCCATTCGTCCACATCCGTATCAACATCATCATCAACATCAACATCAATGTCAACATCCCGTGATAACGACGATAGTGACCAGCACGACGGTGATAGTAATCAGTCCACCATGCGGGCTGCTGGGCGTTGGCATCGCCACGCCCGTGGACTCGGAGGCCTTGGGGCCAATCTTAGCAACCAAGCCATCCCCAATATGAGCGAGGGATTCCTCGAATGTATTGAAGTTGTCCGCCTTCCAGTCAGCGCCATTAGCACCCGGCTTGGCCCCTTCGCCCTTGAAGGCAACGAAAAGGACATCGTGGTCCTCATGGCCGTTGTTGCCGGTTAGGTTGTTTTCAGGGAAACAGGCCCGGGCGAGAGAGATGGACACTTCGCCGGTATCTGTGTTGCCATTGGTGTCTCCCCAAATGCCGTAGAACTATTCAGATGTTAGAACATGTGTTTAGCTGTGTCTGGGTAAAGAAGAGCTAGCGGGTACATACCAGTCTGTTGTTGCAGACGACTGCTATAACGCTGAGGGGTTCAATGCCTGAATCTGAAGGGAGGTAAGAGGGTCTCTTGCCCTCGTTGCCAAAGACGACATAACCATGCAAGTTGGCGTCGAGGTCATCGAGACCGTACCCTTGCACCTCGTCCTTGAACGACGTCTGCCCCTGACCGGTCAGATCGTTGGCACACCCTCCCTTTGACCTGTTGGCGCCATCACAGTCGACGTCTATGTCTCCGAGACGGCCCTTGGGACCCTTTAGGTAGACCACACCTTCATAGTCACCACAGTACAGGAACCCACCTGGCACAGTTAGTGAGGTCCAATATATACTTCACTATAACCAACCCTCAAGAGGGGGAAAATAATGACTTACTTTGTCCATGACCGTCCTTGAAACGGTCGCTGCTCAGGGGCTTCTCACATCGATTGTTCTAACGGCAGTTAGCATGTGGCATTACTAACTAAATTTCCGGGAGGGGATCAGCGGCACCTTTGCATGATCGTAGAGGGCCATGAGATTGCTGGGAATGGGCCTGCCAGCAGCAGAAGCAAGGCTTGCGAGGCCACACAGGGCGACGCAGAGGGCGGTCTTGAGCGCCATCTCGCTGTCACTACCACTATTCACACTTCACTGTCCGACCAGAGCTGAAGAAAATGGGCGAAAGCAAAGTCTTTAAATATGCGACAGGCTTAGCGTTGCAGGCTAACAAAGTGGTTTAACTAAGTTCGCAAGGTTCAGGGGCGGACGTTCCAGATAGATAGCCAGGACCGAAAGAGGCGCATCAGGGACACGCCAGTCTAGTCGTACCAGACATTGCTCCGTGCAATGAGAGAGAGCGAAAGAGGGAGAGAGGGTCCTCTAGTAGAGTTGCAGGATGGAAGCGTTTAGTTTAGAGATATGTATGTCTGGGGTGCTAAATCTGGGGTACAGCAGAGACTCTTCTGTGGGATTATTGAACAAGCTCGCCAGGCCAGCCCATCAGCCCCTTAAGCCCGGAAGAAGTCCAGAAAGAAAGCCCCTTAAGCTCAGTTAGAGCTGCCCAAGCCTCCAGCCTCAAGCATAAGCTTCCCTTAGTCCCGGTCCTGCGCCACACAAGGACGAATCTTCTCGCCTAAGTAGATCGATCGCATGTGGGATTGCCATTTAATTAACCAGTCGGATGTCCGGTTCAACAGATCGTTTTGCTGGCTCTTCTGGTCCATCTTGCAATCCGTATGTTTCACTTCTTTATCGGCAGTCCAAAGCTGAAGAGATCCCGACATGGTCCCCTCCTTGTCGTCATCCCATAGCTGATATTGACATATATAGTACGGAGTACCTGTCAGGGGCCAGAGTACTTGGCATGTAGTGGTCTAGACAAGCGACGAGAGCAGACAGGAGACAGCACCGGCTTCATATATATGGACGATAACCGTTTATGCAGAGTACGGAGTCGGTTGCTGGCCTTGACTCAGACGAACAGGCTGTCCCTTTAATCTTCACCTAGCGAGAGCTGGAATCAGGATCAGGCCAGGATCAGGACCAAGGCTTCGAGTTAGTGCAAACGGCCATCTTTACTACTGGTTAGTTAACTCTGTAGTCAGTTATGTGACTGATCCAGGGCTGCTGGGAGGCCTGAGAGAGGTCGTGATATAGGGGGGGGGACGCCAGCGATGCCTCCTCCCGCGCAGAGCTCATGGCAACGGCCAGCCGCAGGTCAACCGAGACCGCCTGCTGACCCTCTCGCCTATGCCTCGTCGCCTTCACCGTCGCCTCCGCCGCCCTTCGCCTTCCTGTCGTCCTCTCTTTGGCTGGTTTGTCTCGAGTTTATCTTCATCAACACACAAAAATACAAATATTTAATAGAAAGGAAAAAAAACCGTCAGGCGACACTCTGCTTATCTAATCATGTGTTATTCCCTTTTCTTCTTCCCTCCAAGCGCAGTTTGACCGCAACAACCGAACAGCCTCAGCAAGTTGCAGTCTTATGCGAGCTAGCTATATATATTAAATCTACACACGCGCATTTAACGACCGCGACGGCTCTTCTCGACGCTGCAGTGTTTCTTTCTTCGTACTCCGTACCCCCGGGCTCTTCTCTGACTTCCTCGCCGTCACCGTCGACGCTGTCCCGTCCGCCTCCGCATCCCCTTCTCCGCAATCGCCCCAGTCTGCTCGCTGCCCAGATTCAAGCAGAACGACATGTCTTGGGGTTGAAACCCGCACTCCCTAGACTGAAACATATTTTATTGTATTTATTTTAAAGAGAAGAGAGGGGGGTCTGAGATACCGTGTTCTCTTCGACCCCGTCGACAGACGCACGCGCACACAGCTATGGACGATGACGGTGGTGCAGTCGGTGGTCGAAGTCGCAGGTATTTTACGCCTCCCGGTGATATCACTGTTTAGTAGATGTCCAGACGCTAATTCCATGACCCGGTGAATAGGCGACAGTGGCCTAACAAGAAAGATGGCGGTGTCGTTGGACAGGCCGGATGGACCAGCAGCGTCATCAATCTGGTCAACACAAGTGAGTGTCGTCATCTCTGCATAAAAGTGGTAAAATGGGCGAGAACTACAGGCTAATACCTCTTCAGTCGTCGGTGCTGGAGCCCTGGCGATGCCGCACGCCATATCTCGCATGGGAATGTTTCTAGGAGTAACGGTTGTTCTTTGGGCCGGCCTCACTTCGGCCTTCGGGTTATATCTGCAGACACGGTGCGCTCGGTACCTGGAGCGAGGCACATCTTCCTTTTTCGCCCTCTCCCAGATCACCTATCCGAATGCAGCGGTCATATTCGATGCGGCAATTGCGATTAAGTGTTTTGGCGTCGGTGTCAGCTATCTCATCATTATTGGCGATCTGATGCCCGGCGTTATCGAAGGGTTCGTTGGCGGCACTTCTGGAGTTGATTTCTTATACGACCGGCATTTTTGGGTTACTGCGTTCATGTAAGGGCTTCTCGTCCGTGCTTTGATCGAATAATTTACTAACTACAGTTCTTCTCAGGTTGATTGTCATTCCTCTGTCTTTTCTGCGAAGACTAGACTCGTTGAAATATACTAGTATTGTCGCCTTGATCTCGATCGGATATCTTGTCATTCTGGTTGTCGCCCACTTCATCAAGGGAGACACCATGGCTGACCGTGGCCCTATTCATTTTATTGAATGGCAGGGCCTCATTTCTGCCTTGAGCGTTTTTCCAGTCATTGTATTTGCATATACTTGCCACCAAAACGTACGTGGAAAAAAAAAACCTGGTTCTGCTGTGCAAATTCTCATACTAATGCTCGTATTTTTCATGCAGATGTTCTCGATTCTTAATGAGATCGCCAACGATAGTCATTACAGAACGACTAGCGTGATCGTGACGTCGATCGGCAGCGCTGCAGCAACCTACGTTCTCGTCGGTGTAACCGGGTATCTCTCCTTTGGTGATACCATTGGCGGCAACATTGTTGGAATGTATGCACCATCATTAACGTCGACGATTGCCCGCGCGGCCATCGTTATCCTCGTTATCTTCTCCTATCCTCTGCAGATTCACCCATGCAGAGCATCCCTGGACGCAGTCTTGAAATGGCGTCCAAACAGCAACAAGTCCCCTGCAAACACCCATTCGCCAAATCGAAACCCTCTAATCCCACGAACAAGCCCACCAAGCGAGGGCATGAGCGACATGCGCTTTGCAATCATAACTACTGTCATTATCGTGCTCAGTTATATTGTTGCCATGACCGTTTCATCCCTCGAGGCGGTGCTGGCATATGTCGGCGCAACTGGAAGCACAAGCATCAGCTTCATCCTCCCGGGACTATTCTACTACAAGATTTCTTCTCCCGAGTCAGCCGCCCACCAACGTCTGATGAAAGAAGACGACGAGCTGGAGGCAGAGGAACACTCCAATGAAATCGATCCTTCGGCCGATGCATCCCAAGGCCTTCTGGGTCAGTCCTATGCCCGCTTTATGTCCCGCTCTACTAGCCAATGGCGCCGAGGCCTTCTCCGCAAACTTAGTTTGGGCCTCGTAGTATACGGTGTCGTGGTCATGGTCGTCTGTCTGGTCACAAACACCTTCTTTTTAGCCTCAGACATCAAGGGATGAATCATCCAGGCTCTCTTTTTCACCCCACACCTACACACTTGCATACCTGTCTACCGACCAACAGCTAATTCAATACAACCTACTTTATCCTTCCGTTAGCCTCCGCACCCGCAGGGGGACATATGATCTTATAATAGCCTTGGGGTTATCGCAGTTCCGATCCTTTGGTCACCTGCTACATCCTATTACCTCAGCCTAACCGCTTGATAGGCTAGACCGCCTCTTTCCTTTGATCACACTGTATCAACAACCACTACGCTACCTTACACTTTTTTTTTGTTTTCATAGAGCTCAACAATAATATTGGATAGAGCATATAGTTGCCACTTTTTTACTTGATGGCGCTATTCATTAACCTTCTTTTAGGAGTTTTATCTCGGGGGTGTTCTTCTAGGTGACTTCAACTTTTGTTTTTAAGCCTGTGGCATTGTCCAGCCAGTTCATTTCTTTCCTGGTAAGTGAAGGCGGGTTGGATATAGGATGGAGGGGAGACACATACAGCTGATTTATCGGTGTATCTTGCATGAAAATCCAGATATCAATAGTAACAATACAAATACTGTCCAGAGCAATTTTTACGTTACATTTGATAGGTATAAAATCCGTGAGGATAGAGAGAGGAGGCGTTTTGGATTATCCACGACCCGGTAATATTACCACCCTAAAGGGGTAGGCAGAATAAAGATATTAGAAATAAAAGAAATGAAAGGAAATAAACCAGTCGCTAGCAAATACCAGGAGCAATGAAAAAATGTTCGAATGAGAGAAAAAGGCGAGCCAAGCACAGATATCAACTTCCCGCCGTCTGTTGCCATTTGTAAGTTTGGATCAAATGGCAATGCCAAGACGTATAACAACCTAGTTATTGCTCTGGTTGTTCAGGATTCGGAGGATGGAGAGGAAAAGATTGATGATGTCAAGGTAGAGCGAGATAGCGGCGGCAATCTCCTCCTCGACATGATAGTGTCGCATCACAAGTTGCGTGTCAACAAGGATGTACCCGCTGAATATCAACGCGCCAACAGCCCCGTATATCAGGTCCATGGTCTTGCCAACTGGGAAGAAAGCCGCCACAAAGCCGAAGATCACCAAGAACCAGAGTCCACCGAATAGGTATGGCATCCATCCGGTGAAATCATACTTGGTCTGGCAGGCGAACAGGGTGAGGCCGATAAACAGTCCCATGGTGATGACGAGTGCCTGCATGACTATCCTGGAGTCGTAGAATGAAGTAATGACACTGATGGCGTATCCTTCAAGAAGGGTAAACCCGCTGAGGAAGAGGAGATTGGTAGGGTAGCTCTTGCGCTTCCAGTATGTGAGGAGCATGAAGACTATGGCTCCGATGAGGGATCCGATCATAAGCCATGAGTGCGACTGGACCCAGGACTTGTATTTAGCGTTGAAAAAGGAGACGGAGCTCAGGGCGGTGGTGAGAATAAGCTGAACGGTGCTAGATGGGAAGAAAGGAACAGTTAGCTTGACCCCCTTTTGAACGTCGTAGTGAAGATGGCTGTTACGCTTGACTTACAGGATAGAGTATACTTTGCGAATGAACTGCATCCGGATAGGCATGGCTGCCTCCGCCACAGAGCCTCCATACTATTAACATCCAGTCCCGGTTAGCTACATTTTATACCGAACCAGGCCTGCCTCAAAAGGGGAACAGGCAGCCATATTTTCGTCACAAGCGGCTCAAGACTTACCTTGAAGTCATCTGGAACGTTATCGTCTTCAGTTCTTTGCGTTCCATAGATTCCAGCGGAGGGACCAGCCGCATCCTGATAAGATGGAGGGGCATGGGGATAGGTTTGGGTATCCATGGAATCCCGCTGGGGGGCCTGCGAGTACCGGGCGTTTGACGCCATATTTGCGCAGTTACAGAGCTTGGACAGGGGGAGGAAACTCGTAGCGGTGGGCTCTCGAGTCGACGACCAGGGAATATCCCACGGCAAACGAGGGCGTGCGAGTGTGCTGGGACGATGGGACGACGGGGACTGAGAAGGCTCCGGGGACAGCGGCGGCGGCGGAGGAGTCGCTATATATCCAGCCCAGCAGGAGGCGAAGGCCGCCACCAAGCACAGGCTGGGCCCTGACAGAGTCACATGACGGCAGCCGGCCCGGGCGACTGGCATATTCCGAAAGTTACGCTAGGATACAGAAATACCACTGTCTATTGGATGGATGCGTTGATTACAGTACGTGCGGTAACACGAGTACGAATACGTGAGACTTACCAGATCAGGAAAAACAGCCTCGGCAAGTTGCCATGGCTTGCAGTGTTAGTCAGCAGCTGTCAATTCCCTCCTGTGCAAGAACGGGCGAGCTGCTTCCTGCGATCCGGCGGCCTCGCGGGTCTTTGGTGCCCTGGGGTGCGAGCGCTGTGTCACCGATATCCATGAACGCTCCATAGCCAATGCATGTCGGCCGGGATATTCCACAGTCAGGCAGATGTGGATAATTGGACTGTCCACCATGAGACATCTATGTCTCATTTCTGATATTGTGCAGGATCAGTAAGGACTTATGTTTTAACACTAGGAACCATAAATCAGTCAACTTCCAATTAGTCTGGTATCTATTATTTGCTAGAATCCTCAACCAGGCTATCGCTCTCATCGTTCAATGTCAGAACCAGCGCGCATTTTGAGTTGTGCCTCGAAAAGCTTAAAATATTTAAGCACTCAAAAGTGGGGCCCTAGTACCTCGATCGCCACATTTTTATATTCCCTCCGTACCAGCGGCATCTTTTTCTTGACAACCTTGGTGCACTTCGGGTTAAAGAATAAGAGTCCCTGCATAATTACGAAGTCGTACATATTACTCTGGTACACTCGAGGCATGCAGCTTTTGTTTCAGTGCCTCTGGTTAGCAAGTACCCACCACACTTTGTCTACCACTCTTGCAGAACTACATGTCCAAGTTATTCGAGCATAGCAGTATAGAGTGGAATAATTTTGGTAGTTGTTTAGGTTAAATTCGATGAAATTAAGTTTAAATATCTAATAGTAGCGCTCGATTTCCATTTTTCCTAGCGCTGCGGAAATGTCAGATAACAACAGCCCGCACCTTTCTATGGTTACTGGCACCTCCTTATAGTAGTAGGAAATGAGGCCGAATGTGGACTCAGGACAATGAAGATCAACTTTACTACGTCCCAGACATGCACGCATCTATATCTTCTAGTTTATCATGATCTCATAGACATCTTTTTTCTTCCAACAATCAATGTATTATTATTATTATTATTATTATTATTCGAGATCCAATCCAGGGTAATGATAGATATATGCTGCTGACCCTGTCTAAAATGGTATAAATACGGCTAAAAATACTCTGCTCAAGAATACGAATTTAAAATTGCCAGAGCATATGAGAGCAGCCATAATGGAAATAGAGCACGTCAACGGGATAGGTAAACGAGTAAATTGATTGGAAAATGCTAATTTGCAGTAAACAGGGGAGAAGTAGAATAAAGAAGAGTCTAGCCCACTTCTAGTGATCTCAGAATGAAACGCCAGTCACAAACTCCTCGTGCTAAATGTGTTAAGACAGCCATATGTTGCGCCCATGGTCCTCTAACCGATGCACCGGGCAACTAGAAAGTAGAAAGGAGGGGAATGAAAAAGGAAAAAAAAAAAAAAAAGTGAAATGAAAGAGGGAATATGAAGGGAATATGGCAGGAGTGAATGGTCCTACTTCTGATGGCACCCCATCACATTGGGGAGCCGGTCTCAGGCTCACTCCCGGTGTCCTGGTCGTCGTCAAGTTCGCAGTCCGAGTCGCTACCACCGAACATTTCCTCGAAGGAATCCTCGTCTCCGCTATCAACCCAGAAGTCCTCATCTCGTTCGACGGGTTTTGTAGGAGGTGCAATGCTAGCCTCGTGAGAGGTAGGCATCTCGTAGCCGTCTGGGATGTCCTTGAGTGATCGCTCGACTTCAGCCTTGACGCGCTTCTTGTAAGCTGCTGGGTTGCTGCGGAGTTGCACGCCGGCCTCGACGTTGGCAGGCGAGCTGACTTCTGCGTCGTCAAGGAGGGAGATAATCGAGATCAGGACAGACTCAACTCGCTGGGCTGGTGACCAGCGTTCAGAGGCGAGTTCCCCTGACATTTCGTCCTCGCCGGGCTTGTGTAGGATGGAGATGCAGACGTAGCCGTTGTCGTAGATGTTAGGATGCCAGAGAGATGGAGTGAATCTGAATTCTGTAAGTAGGCAAAAGTCAGATGTCAGCCCTGTTCCAGTTCACTTTATAACTATTGCCGGCTCCCCTTTTGCTCGCGTGATATGTCTGGAAGGGGGGTTTCAGGCAGCAAGGTGAGATCCTTACGTGGAGGTGAATAAGGGTAGTTTCTAGGGAAAGTGATTTTTCCTTTAAAGTAGCCGCCGTGGTAAAGTGAGTCCGGGTTCAGGACGATCAGAGCAATGTCCCAGTTGAATATGTCATCGTTGCTCAACTGCGCGACACATTTTATCAGCAACCGCCTCTATATTTCTTCACCAGCAGAACCCCGACAAAAAGAACAGGAGAGAAAACAACTGACCTCGATGTTTAGCCACTTCTCCTTCACCAGAGACTTGTATTCGTTCATCAAGATGCGTTCGGCCATGGCTGATATCGCGAGCGACAGATGGGGCACTTCTTGGAAAGGCTTTTTTGCGGAGAAAACCGTGGAGGCAGTTAAGGCAGGCTAGGGAAGGCCAGGAGGTTTTGAGGCTGAATAAAAGAGAAGCCGTTGGAAGAGGTGAGAAGGCGATGAGAAGTGAAGGAGTCTATCTTCTCCGTCTCCTTTTCTTCTGGTCCGAAAGACTTTTGCTGTGTGAGGGTTTTACTTGCCCCCTTCCAAGGCCCTTTTTCATTAAAAATAGCTAATGACGGGGGCAGAAAAAGGTACATCGTGATATCGTTGGGCGCTTCGAAGGGCCGAACGACCCACATGACCGCCAAACCTTTCAACTAACCACGGCTGTGATGGCCGTCCTATCGCCGAACACAAGG